ATAATAATAATTTAGATTAAGTTTTACCTACTTGATACATACATACACATATATAACATGTTATACATATACAAAACATATTTAAATACATAAAGTTTCTTATATAAACCTTTTAAAATTCTATTTTGAAAATTTTTGCATTTATTTTGATATTTTAATAACCTCGTATATACTACTTAAATTTACTGAAAGTTAGAAATTATTAAATTAACCCTTTATTTTAGAAATTCATTTATAAAGTATTATGTATGTACGTATGAATGTGTATGTAAATAATATAGGTACTTTTTAAATATTAAGGAATAATGAAAAAAAACTAAATAGCTACATAACAAAAACAGAATAATTTTTATGAGAAAAAATAACTATTAAAAAAAAATCAATATTCCTTTTGTATGTTGTCATCTACCTAGGATATTTTGCGGCATATTAAATTAAAAAAAAAAGGTAAATTTTAAATTTTATATATAAAATTGTAACAATAATATAGGTGTGTCTGTATATATATATATATATGTCATTTATTCTCTACAGACAATGCATATTCGAACATACATATTTAGCACTATAATAAAAATCCTGAATGAGGAAATAAGACAAGAAAAAAAAAAAACAAGCTTTAAAAAGGAATATGAAATATTTTTTGATCTTATTGAATTTTTACCCTTTTTAAAAATTTTCGTATTAAATTATAACCCCAAGGTTTTTCATTTCTAATTTCAAGGTATACCTTTAATATATAATTTTTAATTTTAAATAGTGTACATATATTATATAGATATATATTTATATATATAAATGCAGTATGTATAATATATCTGAGGTTAATGTAAATGTGAACTTTTTAATTATAGTAAAAGGGATAAAAATTGGTTGAATAAAAACTATTTTCTTAAAAATTTTTAAGTAATATTAATGAAAATATAGACACAATAATCTTTAAGTATGTTTTTATATTTTATTATTTTTTAAGGTATAGAAATTAAAAATTTAATAGTTTGTTTAAAAGCTACACTATGCATACTAATAAAATTATTAAATTTTAAACAACAAGGTTTTTATTTTAAAATAAATTCAAAGAAAATAAATAATTCAAAAATCTTTCAAAGATTTAAGCTTGTAAATTATTTTGAATAAGGGGATTTTAACAGCTCACAACTTTAGAAGTAGGTTGAATAACAAACATTTCTATAAAGCCACTAAGAAAAATAAAATTTAAGTTTTTATCCTTAAATATGCTCTCGTCTTCAAAATTTTAATAAAATTTAACAACAACATGGTAATGGCAATTCAAAACCATAATAGCAATTTCAAAAGTTCTCTTATTCATTCTTATATTTTGCATCAAATTCACTTTTATTTATTTTAAGTGAAGGCTAAAATTAGAATCAATATTAAAAAAATTAAAATTTATAAACAATCATATCAAATAAATATTTAAATTTTTTATTAAATTTTGATTTTAAATCTTTATTCCTTTAATATTGTTATACGGAATGAATGGCAAACATAAAAATATTAAGAAATGAAACAAATTAATTACCACATATAACAAATTCAACAAATAAAATTATGAGAGTATAAAAGCTTTTACAAGATCTTAATTTTTTTTCCACAAGCATTTTTTTAAGCATCTTTAAAACGTATTCGGAGAAACAGAATGATTTATTCATTGTCGTTTAAGAAATTGTAAAAAAATTCTTACTTTTTAAGTAATTCTAAAAATAATTGTTATATTTATAATTTTAAAGTTTAGATTGTTATATAATTAACATTTATATGTATACTTATATGCTGTGTGAGTAATGCTTAATTTTAAGAATTTTATTTAATTCAGTAGAATTAATTAAAAAGAAAATATTCTTTTTAATTTTCTGTTAATTGGTTAAATATAAAAGTTTTTTTTTAAGAAAAATGTAGAGACCCACTTTAAAAGTAAGAAAATTATATGTGTAGTAAGTACATACTCGTATAACAAGTTATAATATGTATATATAACTTATATGTATATGTGTTATAGGTATAACTTGCATATATGTGGCTGAGCGTTTTAATATCATATTGTGTATAGATTCCAAATATTGATAATAAGTTAAAAAGTAAGTATAGATGGTAAATTTCTGATCCCTTAAGGTTGTTATAATTGTGAACTTATTTTTGAAGATAATTCTAGTATAGTTAATTTTTGGTATAAATACATATATTATAAAAATTTGCATTGATTGGGTTAAAAATGGGATTTTGACATTAATTGCAGTTCTTATCTTAAAAATGCAACAACTGCAGTTTCTATTAACAAGATTACAAATTATTTTTTTAAATTAAAAGTAAAAATGAAATTTTTCTTTACAGTTGTTAGTAAATTTTGTTTATCATTTTCTATTGACATTATTTGATAACGCTCTATATAATATTTAGATAAACTACATACATACATACATGTGCAACATTTAATCATTATAAATGTGATTAAAATTATTTCTTTACAAAAAAAATGATGACCTCCTTTTGCTTTTGTTTCTTCTAATTTAATTGTAGTATTAGTAATTTATGCCAATTATAAGTTCACAACTATATAAAATTATCAGCGTTATTTTCAATTTTAAATAAAATAATATAAAAGATGCAAGTGTTTTTGTTATATGTATACATACTTTTTGATTTTATTGTTCTAACAACTTTTATTATTTTATATATAAAAACAAATATAAACAAAGAAAATACTTTTGTTAGCAAATTTTCATTATAAAACAATTCATCTTGTAAGATTAATAATAAATTAATTAAAAGAAAAAACTTAAAAATTTAAAAAGAACTATGGGCATTTTAATTATTCAAGCTTTCGTTTTATAAGAACGAAAAAATTATTAAGAAATATAGAAAAAAAATTAATTAAAAATTTAGTCTTGTATTAGTTCTGATACAAACATTTTATAAGAAGCTGTTGGACAAAAATATTTTTTTTTAACTTGTGTTTTAAGAATTCTATTCTGGTTTAATGTTCAAACCACAATAAACGTACACTTAAAAAAGAATACAAAATTTTGGCGGGCGGAACTTTAGTATATATAGTTGAAAATGTTTTCTTTTTACTGTGTTAAAGAGTTTTGATTGCAACGACGTAAGGAACAAAAATTCCGAACACAAATTTGATGTAAAATAAGATTTTATTTTTTAATTTAGGCATATTTTACCTTCATAAACTTTCAATTAGATCCCTGTTTAAAGCTTATTTTAATTTTACTAACATCAAAAATATTGTTTTAGTTTATGACTTAGTTTACCACGGTTTATGACCAACAATTCGTTAGAAGCCTATGATTAAATTTATATACGTTCCAAATGATATTCCTGTTTTTATGACATTATACACTGAAGTGGATATGAACACAGAGCTTCAGAGTCACAGAGTAACAGTTCAGTTTTGATGTATGAGAAATTTCTGTTAATTATTATAAGGTTTCGTTTATTAAAGGATTCTACTGTATATTAAATGATATTATATTTACATATTATACATATATAATTTACTAACGTCTTCTGTAATTTAATTATTGAACGTTACGAAGTGAATTAAAAATTCACTACTAATTAATAAGAAAAATTATTTCTTTATCTTTATTATTGGAAACAAAATTGGCTATGGTCACACTGTTCTATACTTAATTTATAATATATTTAAGCTTATGAAAATTTACTGTACCGTTAATTAAAAAAAATTGGTTGTAATCTTTTTTATCAAAAAATTAATTGGCTGACATTCAATAAATTTTTTTTTTTTCAAAGAATGTTGTGTCTACTTATATTGTAAGCTTTTTGTGCAATTAAAAATTTTCTAGAGATACATTTTGAAATACATATAATATGTAAGTATGTAAAATTTTATCAAAACATCTTCTATTTGATGAAATTTTTAGAAAACTTATTTCGACGGGAGATTGTAAAAAAAGATTGAAAAGAAAGTTTGCCATTAATTTTCAATAATATTGAAATTTATATTGATAAATTTTTGTTTTTTGTTTTAATATTACCGCGTATTCTTGTTAATATTTGTATATTAAAATCAAAAAAGCTTTTATAGCGTTTTTACAGAAAAGTAGGTTATTTTTGCATATAAAACTTAAGGTTACATACTAGTACATAAGGTACATACATATGTGTTTAAATTATATTTTTCAATCTGAACGTCTCCTATAATATTTAATTTTTTGGTTTTTTAGTTAATTCCTTTAGTTAATAGTTTTACTTAAAAATCAATTGCACATTTTAAGTTTAGATGTTTTGATATTTAAAATTTTTTATTTAAATAATTTTGGAAACACGCTATTATTCTCTTTCTAGTCATTCTGCAATGCAAATATGATTCTACAAATGAATTCCGTACTTAATATTTAAAAGTGCTATATATATGTATGTAAGTCATCGGTATATATTGATGACAATGATGACAAAATATTTTATTCTACTTAAATATTAATTAGTAAACTTATATTTACCTGAATATCAATTCAATCCTAAATATTCAAGGATTTCAAGACTTTGGCGAATCAAAAAACTTATTTTTATTTTATTTATTTTTTTTTTTGTTTTTTAATTTGTTCTTTCTTTTTTATAAAATAAATTTCTAAACAAATATATTTTCTAATACTTAATTTAGTTAATTTAAAAAAATTTTCTTTTTGTAAATTAAGTTTACTAAATTAGATACTAAGCACAAAAAATTAATTTATAACAAAAAAAAAAATACATAATTAATTATTTAAAATAGAATTTTTATTCTGAGTATAATAATTATTTTATTTCTACTCTATTTGAAATTGACTATATGAAGCGCTCTTATTGATTTATTTTTTTAATTTTTATTTGTTTTTTTTTTTTTGAATAGCTTGTTTATTTGCATTTGCAAGCTGCATTTTAGCGGAACGCATTTTAAAATTGGTAAATTTATGTATATTTATTTTACAAATTTGTTCTTGGCTTTCATTTTTTTTTAATCTTCATTTAAATTTAACATAAAAGTAATGACACAATTAATTAAAATTTTTAATAAATTTAATCTATAATACAGACTCTCTTTGATTTATTTCTTTATTTGTATCATTCGTCTTTGGTATAATTTGCGGTGTGGGTGTATAATTTTGTAATAAACTTTGCTTATCTGGACTATCAATTTTATGCGATTGCATTTTTTCATCATAATTTGAATCAGGTGCTTGATCTGGGCTAGGCAGAGTTTTCATTATTTTTGGAATTATTGTTATTGGTTTATCATCGTCATCTTCAGCCGGTTCTTCGTTAATTGGTGTTAAAAATTCCATTGGCAGCGGTTCCACTTCAGCATGTGAAAAACGTTTTAGGCATGGTGCTATAAAGCTAGTTATTGTCGATAAACCAAACAAACCACCAGCCATATAAAACGGAATATCATATGATAGTGTTGCATCATATATAGCACCAGCTAATGGTGATCCAATAATGGCAGCAAAACCTCTGAACAATATCAATAAACCAAATGCATTTGTTAATTTGTCTAATCCAAGTAAGTCCACAAGTATAATAGATGTTAATGATATATAACCTGAAATTGCTATACCAAAAAATATTGACATTGCGATGTATGCCCCGTAAGATGTACATAGAGGTGTAGCGGCAACAGCAACCGTTGATATCAACAAACAAATATTATTAAGTAATAACGAGTCCACTTGAGGAAAATCAGCTACATAACCACATATAACTCTGCCTACTGTATTTGTTATACCAATTACTGAAATTAGAAATGATGCTTGATTTTGTTCAATACCATTCTGCATTGCAGCATCAACTAAATATACAAAAGGTACATATAAGCCTGCCATACCAAATACATTTGATACACCAATCATCATGAAGACAGGATCTTTAAGTAAACTAACATCTAACATTGAACCTAAAGCTGCTTTAAAAGATTCTGGTAGAACAAAACACGGACATAAATCATATGATTCACGATTTCTTTCTATTTCAGCAAGACGGTCACCTTGAATATCACGCATACTTTTTTCATATTTTGTTAATGATAAAACGGAGTTTCTATAATTAGTTAACGATTTTTGTGATTGATACTGTGGTAAATTTGTAACTGAACCGGAATAAAATATATCTTTTCTAGATAATGGACGTACCATACGTGCTTGGCTATCAGTTCTAGGTATTGACATTTTTGATGAAAACATCTCGCCTGATGTTTCACCATTTTTCAATTCAGCTTTTGATGATGCTTTAATAGATGATAATGTGGGTTTGAATTTTTCACTAGTAGAAGTTTTACGAACTCTATCAAAAAATGGTACGGATCCGTTTTTAGGAAGACCTTGTGCATTTGTTGGAAATGCAGGTTGCGATGCATTTCTAGGCATATTATTAGAATTAGAATCAAAATCTGTTTCACTTTCAGAATGACGTTGTATTCGTCTGTGACGGCGGCTTTCTAATTGACTATCAGGAGATCCATATCGTTGTGCATCAGCTACTTTTGATTCCGATATTGTAGGTAAAGTTGGAACATTTGGTAAACCACCTTGTTGTGCTAATGCTTCTAAATTTAAACTTGAATGCACACCTGGATCTACATTCAATGGTAATTTCATTCTTTTTTCCATTGTACCATCAGGCAATTGTACCATAAAATAGGAACCACCAATTGAACCTCTTTGTAATTGATGTTGTTTTTCTTCATACATCCTTTGCATAAGCGGTTTAACTTTCTTTTCTTTAGGGTATGTTAATGGTCTCATTAGAGCGCCAAATACAGCACAATTCAATATTAAGCCAGCTAATATTACTAACGAACCTTTCCATCCCAATTCACTAATTAAATATGTTGCAAAAGGGGCAAAAGTAAATGTACCAAAACCTGAACCACATACTGCAATACCAGTTGCAAGTGATCTTTTTGTTTCAAAATAATACCCAACAGCAACAACAGCCGGTAAATAAATCATACCAAAACCAAAACCGCCAATAACACCATATGTAATCATAAGCATTGTAACGCTTGTACTAAACGTACTTAAAATAAATGCAACACAGCCAATTACACTTCCAGCTATACAAACAGCACGACATCCATATTTATTACATAACGCCGATACTATTGGACCAGCACTTAAGTACACGCCGCTTAATAAACTTCCAACCCATGCAACCGTGCCTTTACCTTCATTAAAATAATTAACGAAATCATTTAAAAATATTCCAAATGTATATGCAATCCCATCAACAATCATATTACAAACGAATGATGCTAAGACAATAACCCAACCGTATCCACCATCCGGTGGTGGTGGTAAATCTTGTACTTCTGGATCATAGTAATAATCTGCATTATTTTCTTCTTGTAATTCAGCTGTTAATCTTGCTGCTTCTTCGCATGCTTCTGCATCAGCATCACTTTGTGATTTTAAAGTTTCTTTCGTTGACATTTCTCTGTTATATTATTTTGTATTCCTTATTGTTTTTAAGGTGGAAAAAAAATATATATATATTTCTTCTGGTGCGTTTCTCAATACTCCGTAATATTTTAAATTTTTTTTTTTTTAAATCCCTTTTTTAGTCGCCGGGGTTAACGTTTTTTTTTTTCATAAAATCTATATAAATAACAAGTGTACATATACATATAATTTTTTTAATTAATAATTCAATTTAAAAATAAACTTTATTATATTCAACTTTTTTTTTTTTGTTTTAAATAACAAGTTAGGTAGACAAATATATGGCAAGTTATATAAGTAATAAAATAAGATTTCAAACTTTAGTTTTCATTGGCAAGAATTTATATAATTTTGTAATCACTCTTGTTGCCATTTTGATTTTTTTTTTTGTAGTTTAATTTAGGTACTTAACTTTGTTTCTTTTAATTAAAAATTTTATTAATAATTATTTTGAGGTCCTTTGAAAATTATAAGTAACAGATCGATTTTGTTTTTTTTTATAGAAAAATAATTTAATTTTCTGTTCCTGTATAGATACACTAATACTGAAATGAAATAGCATTTCTTTTCACAGAATATACATTTTATATATATTTAGATCCTATATAGATACAGTGCTCGTTATCACGAATTTTTTAATAAAAATTTCTTTATTTTTATTTTAATAAATATCATCACATATGTTATTTTGTATATTAAAATTATAATATTATTTTTTAATAAAATAAAGTAAAATATTTTATTTAAAATATTAGGGTTTTTCTTTTAAAAATAAAATCACTGAACTTTTTCAATAATGTGTTATACTAAATATATATATATATATATATATATATATATAAATATGTAGCTTTTTTGTTATTTTAGCAATTAAAGTACTTTTTAAAAAAAAAATAACAACTTCAATCAAAAATGATATTCGAATATCATAAATTTTATTTAGAAAATAACAAAAAAAAAAAAATATTCCAAAACTATGTTGATATGTTTTCTGTTTTTAATTACGAGTATTAAAAACAAATAAAAAAAATTAATAATATTTTAAAATAATTTATTTAAATTTTTATTCAAATTTAAATAGAAAAAAAATTTTTTTTTAAAATCTTCTCACTTTTTTCACGTTCAGTTTCATTTTTGTTGTAGTTATATTAAACTTTTCATTCTTTCTTTTATAATATATATTTTAGGTATATATATAAATATATATATCGCGGTATATATTCAATATTAAGTATATATTTATTTTTTTTTTATATTCTTTTTTCTGTATCACCTTTTATGGGTTTTAATCAGTCAAATCAGCTGATTCTTGGTTATATAGGGCACAAAAAAAAAAAAATGTATAAATTTTTTTTTTCTGTTTTATTTTGTTTTTACAAAAAAAAATTTTTTTTTTTTCGTTATTGTTTTTATTTCAGTAAAAATACCTTTAAAGTAAATTTAAGTACTTTCACATCTGCTTTTATAAATACTCACTAAGTACAATTGGAGAAAGAAAATAAATTATAAAATTACATTATTTTTATATTAAAAATAAAAATTTATTTTTCTGTTATACTAATTTTTATTTGTGAATAAAATTTAATTTGTATTGAACATTTTTCTTTCATAATTCACAATAACCATTTTTAATTAGTTTACTTCGAATATATTTTTTTTCCTCAATTTAATTTCCTTTCTTCTAAGTCAAAGAAATTCTATTTTACGCATTATAGCGGATATTTTTTTTTAATTCGATATTATTTTGTTTATAATAAAATATTTGATTGATTTTATTATATTTAAAAAAAAATAATGTTTTTTTTTTTTTGGAATTGATGGTGTTTTGATAAGTACTTTAAAAATTTCAATCCAAATGAAAATAGTGAATTAAAATAAAAAAATATATAAATTCTTGTTACGGTTCTATTCTATCGCTTGCCTTTGCAGTTTCTTTACTGACATTGCTTGTCATTCGAGAATTTGACATAAATATTGTCTTATTCTGAAAGCTTTTATCACATATGTTTTGTTTGAATATTAAAAAGCTTTTTATTCTAAATGCATATGTATTTGTTTTTTTTTTTTTTCGTTTTTTGCTTTCTTTATGATTTAATTCTGTTAGCACATGAGCACATATACTAAAACCAAATTGTTTTTATATATTTCTGTTTTGTATTTTTGTTATACCTCGATATGAATAGGTTCTTATTAAATTGATCATTTTATTCATAAATAATATTGTGTATGTTCATAAAATTTATGTTTGAAAATTAGATGTTTGTATTATGCTGCTGTTATTATATTTACTATATGTGTACTAATTGTATTTTGGGACTTTTTTTTGTTTTATAAAACTGGATCTAAAATACACGCGGTATTAACCACTGTAAACGATACCACATTTAAGCTGTAAGTACATAGATAGATATTCTGTAAATGTTTTATACAACAATAAATTTATATATGTATAATGATGTTATAAGATGTATAAAAGCTTGGTTGATTGACTGGCTGGTGGAAATTTGTTCTGTTGTATTTTATTTTTATTCTATATATATATATATATATATATATATATTTCTTTTTAAATATATTTAAAACAAAGAGAAAGAGGAAGAAATTTTTTTATTTAATAAACTTGAAATAATGGCGATTTTTTTTTTTTCTCCAATATAGCAACAAAACTCTTTGTTTTGAAAACTTGACAATTTTTTTTTTCTTATTGTTATTGATTTCATTATTGTTTTTAATTAAATGAATTACGTGAGTCTATTTTTAAAAATTTACTTTAATACGTATTATATATTATAGATTTATTTATACACATAATGCATGTATGTATGTAAACATTATAGAAATTTAATATTGTAAAAATATTGCAGTTTTTTTCATATAAATAATTTCTTTTTAAGCAAAAAGTACTATAAAACTGCTCGATGTATTTTATAAATGTACGTTTGTTTATTTAAATTTAAATTAAATTTTTTCAATCTATTTAAACCAATTATTATTATATTTCATAATACGATTGCTTTCTGATGTTACATATTTTGGTATTCCTTCTATTATTTTCACATTACGATACTTAAACTACTTACGATTTGAAGATTATTTTTACTATATTTATTATGAATTTTTTTAATGGGATATAATATTTTTATTTATCTTCTACATACATATAACAAAAGAATATTTTTAAAATTTGTTCAATTTAATAATTAACATGATTAACATACAACATCACCTATATAAATTTTTTAAAATATTGTTAATATTATTGTTTTGGTTTTTACTCTAATACCGCAACACATAGGTTAATTTTACACAATTTTTTTACTAAACAATTTCTATTGTATAACATTTAACATAATTATTATAAAAATTAAAATCATTTTAATAAATAATTATTTTTCTTTTAACTTATACCTAAAGGTAACCAAAAAAAAAAAAAGAATATAAATCTCCGAGTATGTGCAGCTTTTTCTAATTTAATACATTTTTAATCTATTTCCTTGTAGTCGTCATGAAGAAGGCTGTATATCTACTGTCTACGTCATTCTTGAAAAGCTTTGTTATTTTTTCTTCTTATATATACTTCTTGAAAAGGTTGTATAAATGTATATGTACGTATTTAATTCACATATTATGTGATTCTTCTGTAATTTCTAGTTACTGATTTTGTAGTTTGTTGCGTAAAATCAGAATGTCGTTGTGGTATTAAAATAAATTTAGGTAAATGTTATTATATTATAGAAAGCATGTACATACATATGTATATAATAAAATGTGGGCAAGAGGTATTATTGTCGGCTTTTATTTAATAATACGTACATAATATTATATATGTAGTTCTGTTGCGCTATTATGTATTACAGTTATGTGATTGTTAAATTTACATCAATAAAAACTCAATAAAAATATGTAATTATTGGTTTTCTTTATTATTTTATTACTTTAAAAAAAAAAATTTTTTTTTATAATCCTGATATTGTTGTTTTTGTTAGATTTCAAGTGTTGTCATAATATTTTCAAAAGCTATTTTACAAAAATTTATTAAATTATTGCTATAATGTTTTAGTACTTTAAAGTAATAACGGTAAAAACTAAATTTCTTTGATTAAAGCTTAAAAGTATCAATATAACACATTTCTTTGAAACGAATGATTTGATGACAATTATCAATCAATTATGCTAATTGGTATGTATCCCCGGTGTTAAAAACTAATCTTCTCATTGATTCGATCGGTTTTTCGTGAGTACTTTAAGAGATATGTGAAAGTATTTGCCTGAAAGTCACTTGTTCACTTACCTAGGTTTCTCGTATTGTAATATTTTCTATAACAGCCTCCTCAACTATTCTATTGATTAATGTTTAATTTAATTTCAAAGTCGACATCCGATTTAAGTAATACATTTCACACAAATATTAATAAAACTTATTGGTTTTTAATAAATCAAGTAATATATAACAATCTAACTATGCATTTAGATATTATAAAACAAAAATTAAAATTATTTTAATCTCAATACCACAATTAACTGTAGAATTAGCTTGAAAATAAAAAATCCAAGTCTAATTCTATTTCAAAAGTTTAAATCCAATTTGAAATTGGTTGTACGTACAAAATTAAATGTAAGCTTTTGTGTGTAACAAAAATGTGTGTTTTCTTGTTTGAAAAAAAAAGCTTTGAGTTTTTTTTTTAAATTTTGCAGTTTCTGTTTAGTATACACGCGTTTATGCAGTTATATACTTTATTTTGTTTCTGCAATTGAAGCAGCTGCTAACATTTTACTTTTAAATTATTTTTTTTTTTCATTGAACTGAGCAACAAATAGTTGTTTTCGTGTTTTGAATTTAGAATTTCTGTAGATTCTGTAATTAGAGTCACATGGGCACAAATGAGAAAATATTTTTTTTTTTATTTTTATTTCTTGACAGACATGTAGAACGTTTATGTATGTAGTAATATGCAAAAAATAATAGTAAATGCGCGAATTGTATAGATATGTGTATTGTACATATGTATATGTAATTGGATATGTAATCGCATATTTTTAAATATAAATTATATTCAGTTGCATAAATATGCCTATAGGCGAACACAATAAAAAAAAAGTAATATGTAATAATTATTATTCCTTTATTTATTAGAAGTTAATTGGAATGTGCATGCATGTAGGTTAGTAAGAGCAACCAACTTATGTAACTTTTATAGATATTTTTTTTTTTGTACTTTATTACAGTTATGTATTGTAAAATATTAGGAAATCAATATTTTATATTTAACAATTAAAAAACTTCATGTTTGTATATATGTACTGCGTGATATTGCAGTTATCATTACTAGTTTCTTATCTTTGCATAGAAAAATGTACCTACACTTAATTTGCACCAATCACTTTTTAATGTTAAAGACTTAATATTGAAAATATTTTAATATGTTAATTACTTTTTAGAGTATGTATGTAAAAATGTACTTAGGTACACATAATTCATAATTGCCGCAACTCGGTTCTATGGTAGGCTGAGTCATTTTGGTTCTATTTATTTATTATTAATTTTATATGAGTTTTAATAAAAATGATTTATGTGTGTAGGTAAATGTAGATAAATAAAACATAATTTACATATTTATGGAGTACAAAATATTTTAGGAAATTAATAAATTCAGCATCTTTTAAATGAAAAGAGTAAC